CAGGCATTGTGAGCTGCAGGATGGAAATCAGCTGTCCCAGGAGAGGCTGGGGAGGAGGAAAATAGCGGGGTCTGAAGTAATGACAGGATGGATCTGACATGAACGGATGGATCTGACATCTGACGCTTCTGTCCAGGTTTTTTCCTAATCTGAAATACAGAAGTGTCATTTCTAGGACACTTTGGAAATGTTCAGTGGTGACAGAGCAGTGTGGTGATGTGTGAGGACGGGGCAGTGATGCCTGGAATGTCCAAGCTTCCCTTTTCTGTGCGGGTATTTGTGGTTCCCAGCTGGGAGGTGGCTTGGTTGGAGCTTTTGCTGGGGAGCTGGAGGGTCAGCAGTGTGACCAGGAATCCCAAACACGTGTGGGAAATCAGCATAATTTTCCAATAAAACATTTGTGGTTGGGAAAGGAAGGGAAGAACCCATGGGAAAAACTTAAATGCAGTCTTAGGGGCATCTTTTGTTCCTCTCTTCTTCCTGCTTGGGAAGCCCTTCAGATGGAATTGTTTAGGTAAGGCTGGACCAATGCCTGAGTGTAAAGAGAGCTCTGCAATAAGTCTGAAAGCCTGGGCAGCACTAACAGGGACAAAGTGATGACAGAGTGGGAGTAGAAGACTGTTGGATGGCAGGGAAGGGATGTGTGTCTCCAGAGGACTGTGCTGGTTTCAGGAAGGATGTCTTTGATTTGCAATATTTTGCCATCCTGCTGAAAACTCCCAGACTGCTGAGCTGGGCTTATAACTCTTCCTGCCTTGGCACTTGGTGGCATGAGCTGAATTCAGATAAAATGCACTTTTTCTGCCCTTACATTCTGCACCCTGTGTTCAGAGAGAAGCTGTGTGAGATGTGAATCATCCCCTTGCTGATGTTCTTGGGTGCACTGGCCTTTGATGAAGTCGTAGTTAATGGAATGACTCTGCATTATTTATTACCCAGAAGGCTTTGATGGGAGACTGGAGGTTAAGTTCAAGCTCTGAGCAGGTGAATATTTAGGGAAGCAAGGGTTAGATTTCTCCAGTGTGGAGGGGCTTTCCCTGTTTGCTCACTTAAATTGTGTGAGCAGGAGTCAGAGCTGGGCTGTGAGTAAACCACTCACTGTTCGGGATGGGCTGTAATGAGCTTGTAAACCACCGTGTAAGGAAGCCTCATTAGTGGCTGATAAATGATTCAAGCCAGTAAACATCGGGAAAAGGAATATTCAGACAGCAGATCAAACAGTGTTTAAAAAAAACCAAACTGGAGTGTCTGGGTTTGAGGAGTTTGATGCAGTGAAGGGAAGGGCTCTGGCCAGGGGGGTAGGGAGAGAAAATGGAGAATTTGCTGGTGTACCAGCAGGGTTGGTGTTTCCTGGTACTGCAGGCCAGGGTGGAATTGTGTTTGTGTGGCTGCAGGGTATGGATTGCAGTTTTCTTGGGGAAAGGTTTTTTATGTTCCTCTGTTTCGTGGAACAGGCGAGAACAACACGAAATAACAACAATTTCTGCCGAAGCCCCAATAAGTAAAGAAAATGGCAATACCCAAAACTCTGCTGCATTAGGGAGGAGACAGCCCTGTACCCTCAATAAATTGTGCTGCTGAGAGCCAGCCAGTGTGTGTGTGATGTTGGTATTTGTTCCTCCTGAGTTGTGCAGTGACCATGCATCAGCATTTGCTAAATTAGATTTCATTTCTGCTGAGGAACAAAGTGCATCAACTTAGATTTCCGAAGCACTTCAGAAACGAATTCAGTTTCCCTCTCTCTCAAGTGTTGCTTCCTTGGACATTTACCGTGGGGTGAACCCACACAGTTAAAATCCCTCCTGGCTTTTACACCCCCCCAATCCGGCCCGGGAGCTTTAAGGAGTTGAAAGTCGATGGAAGATGCTTTTCTGTACTCGTTTCCTTTGCACTTGGAGTGCCAGGCGGTGCCTCTGTTTGTTATTTACCTTCTGACAGCTGGAAGATTTGCAGGGGCACGATCTGAACGCTCAGGTTCATCTGAGTCTGGAGCTGCAGAAATTTTACATCGTGTGGTGAAACCCAGCAGGGTTTGGGGGGTGGTGGGGGGGGGGGTGCAGGAGCCAGGGCAGCTCCTCCTGGGTGCCTTATTTGGAGGAAATGATGGAATTCTGTTGCTGGGAATGAGGTGCCTCCTGTCAGACCTGAGGGTTGGAGAGAACGTGCCAGAAATTCTGGAGGAATGTTGTAAATGTTGTCCCCTGTCAAATAAAAAAACCCATCTGGAACTTTACAGCGCAGGCACCAGCACTGCCCTTTCAGATCTTCCTGCTTATTGCTGCTCCTGGGCCAAAGGGATGAAGAGAACTGTTTTTGCAATCTGCAGAGGGGAGAGTTGAGTGTTTTCCTCGTCGTGTAAGTTAAATTTTAGATAAGGTTTTGTCAGTCAGGCCTGAGCTGAACTAACTCAAAGCTGGCAGCAAATTACAGAATGCAGGAATTCTCCTGGGCCTCTCCCGGCTTCCTCGCCGTGCCTGCTGACTTCTTCCAGCAGTGTCCAATGTAAATGAAGATCTCTCCTCTTACAGCTGATGGGGAATAGATCATTTTTTCCCAGTTTGTCAGCTTTTGGGAAACCGTTCTTTTGTTTGCAATAAGCAGTTTTGTTTTATCTGCGTCCAGAGCTCCTCTGGGTCAACGTGCAGATATTGCAGCAGATTAATTTGATGGGTCTTAGAACTGTGACCTGTTTTTCTGTTCTTTTTTTTTCTTTTTTTTTTTTTTTTTTTTTGCTGGGTTTATGTCCATATTTCTGGCCTTCTGGCACAGTCACCACTTGTGCAAGGATGGGGTGAGTTTGTGTTGATCTTGGTTGCCTTCCACGTGGCCTTGGAAGGGTTTGGAATGTGGTGCCTCTGCCCTTGGATGTGTTTTCTGACCTTCTCACAGCCTTGGGAGCTTTGATCCCTTTGGGAGAACGGGGATATGGAGCCTCTTTGATTTCCCATTTTCCTCAAATTGTCCTGATGAACTTTCCTTTGGATTAAAGTAAGAAATGTGCAGGAGGGGCAGTTTCAGAATCCCCCCCCCCCGTTGCCTCCTGAGTGTCGCTCTGGTTGGAGGAAAGATGGTTCGGTGGAATTGGAGGAACCAAACTGGGGTCAATTTACCCCTCTGTGATCAACATGACCAGTCCTGTGCAGCTTCCTGGCACTGAGTTAATGTTCTTTTCAGTGAACTCCCCAACCAAATGGAGCTGAAGTGGAGGAGGGAGGTGGATTCCCCTCCGGAGAGGGGCAGGCGCCACGTGCTCTAAAAACGCAAACCACTCTGCCTGCCCTGCTTAAGGAATCCTTTGCCTCTCTCAGCGTTAATCCCAGGTGGCTTATGGGGCTGTCCTGCCTCTCATTGATATAATAAGCATGCTACAAAAAGATTCCCTGGGTAGTAAATAGGATGGACCGTTTTAGATTCATGAAGCTGTGAACTTCGTCTGGCAGAGAGAAGTTCCACCAAGCAGGTTTTTTTTGGTTTTTTTTTTTTTTTTTGCACCAAAGTAGGTCAATCTAATTATAATTGGCTTTAATGAGCACTACTCTGCAGTTCTTTACCTGTAGCTGGTTGGCACTCAGAAGTGCAAATGCCTTTGCAGCCTTTGAAAAAGGCAAGGAGAAATCAAAGAAGTAATTTCTACTCTAATTCATTTCAACTTGAAAGCCTCGGTTTATCCACACAGAGGGGAAGACAATCCAGCAGCAGTGGGAAAAGCCAAAGCAGAGCAGGGATCAGCAGCCACAGGATAAGGGTGAAAATGCTTTGTTTTCCCGTGTGAGGTTTACCCTGCAAACTGTCTGGAATGTGGCTTTGTGTGGAGGAGTTACTCCAGCAAAGCCAGAGAGGGTTGGACCAGTTTGAAGTGAAGTTTTTGTGCCTTTAAAGACATTCAGTGTGTTAGTGCAGGGAGAGGAAAACACTAAAGAGGAGAATTTGTCATTTAGGCTCTTCCCAAAGCACATTTATGTACCTGTTTCCCCAGAGAGAAGAAAATCTCATATATCCAGAAGTTGTACATGGTGGCAGTCGATCTTTATCTTGGGGATGGAGTGTTCCCAGGCTGTGGGGAAGGAAAATGGATTTGAGGGAGGTGTCAAGTGCTTAGCTGCTGGTGCAAGAGTGGGCTTTTGTTCTCAGAAGATGGAGCTCTTCAGAAATACTGATTGGAAGACATTTGCTGTGTGCTGAGCCTGCATGAGGAGCAGAAACCTCTCAGAAGGGGTGAGAGGAGTCAGCAACCTCAGAAGGCTGGGCCTGGCCAAGGATTTCTTTCCTGTGTGCCCTCAGCAGGTCTAAGAGGAGTATGGGGTGTTTCTGGTGATGGCTTTTACTCCAGATAACTATTCACAGAGTCACGGAATAGCTGGGGTTGGAAGGACCTCAAAGGATGGTTTGTTGGGTCAGGCTTTGGACTGTGTCCTGCTCTTTTTGGAGCCAGGACAAGTTGAATTCCTGATCTTTTGCCATTCAATTTTCATGCAGCCTTGCCCAGACAGGCTCATCTGGTGACTCAGCTCCTCGTTCTGTGTTAGGGCCATTATGGATTTTCAAGGTGAAGTTGGGGGGGTGTCTCACTGTCTGCACACTGGCCTTGTGTCTCTGTTCCAGGGTAATTAAGGGTGAAGGAGATCAGCAGCTTTGGCTTTGTCGCTGTGGCCTCGTGTTTGAGCCCCCCCAGCAGGGCCAGGCTCGTGCTCAGTCCCAAAATGCCCAGAGGACGATGAGGAACGTGCTGGATTTTGCTGTGGGCGGTGGGGGGGTTTTGAGGAGGGCTCTGTTCCCAGGAACAGGCAGCAGTCCTGCTGTTGTTACCCCACTGTGCCCCCCAGGCAGTGGGAGCAGGGATGGGGGCCTGGGTGTCCCTGCAGGGAGTTCCAAGGTGCATCTTTAGGTGTTGCCTTCCCCTGGCCCCACCAACCAACCAACCAACCCCCTGTGCTGTGCTCTGGTGTTCCATGTGTGTCTGCCACTGTCTGACTCGTGCTTTCTGTGTTCTCTCTCGCCAGCCCAGAACTGCAGCCACGTCCTGCAGGGCCCAAACGGGACGATACAGAGCCCAGGCTTTCCCTATGGATACCCCAATTATGCAAACTGCACGTGGACAATCACTGCCGAGGAGCAGAACAGGATACAGCTCGTTTTCCAGTCCTTTGCACTAGAGGAAGACTTTGATGTGCTCTCCATCTTCGATGGGCTGCCCCAGCAGGGCACTCTGAGGACGAGGTACCGTGCTCATTCCAGACATTCCTGGGTCGGATGTTTATGCTGCAATAAGCTGGGAGTGTTTTCTCCATGAGCAGCTCTTACAGTTGTTTTGATTTCTTATCTCTGATCGGGTTTGAGACGTTGCTCCGAAGGCCTGACAGGAATGATTTATCAGGAGTTCGTTCTGGGCATCCAGAGGAGTTAATTAGAAACTGGAGCAGGAGGAAAGCAGAGCTAATGTGCAGCTTCCCTCGGTGCCAGCGAGATTCTGGGAGTGGGAGGAGGGTGATGGGGCTCACTTACAGCTCTGCCAAGTGCTTTGAGAGTTTTCCCACCGAATTTGGGCTGTTCCTGCGCTCAGTCTGTGCAGCAGCTGGACAGGGGGGATATTCTCTCACATCCAGCCAAACTGTTGGATGCTCAGGAGTAAGCAGTTACTGACTGGTGTGGTTTAGGTAGGAAAATCTTCAGGGCTTTCTCGTATGAGACTTTCAGGTACCATCCTGTATGAATAGAAAGTGTTACGAGGGGCTGATTGTGAAAAAAAGAAAAATCCTGTGTTGCTTTGGGAGCAAATGTTTTATGGCACATCAGAGCTTGTGCAGTTGGAGGAGCTGTGATCCCAGAGCTGCAGGTCTGAGGCACAAGAGGGAATCAGCTCAGTGACATGGCTCTTGTTGCCTGATGGGGTGACTGATTGCAGCTGAAGCCTGACAGCAACACATCCAAAACCTCCCAGAAACAGCGGCAGCATCCGCTGTTAAAATCCTGGCAGGAGTTCTGGGGTCCTGGAAATCAGTTTGACTTCAAACCACTCGAGTTTAGGGCAAATCCATTGACCTCGGTGCCTTGTCTAACCCAGGTGGAAAAATCTGAGTTACACCCTGGTGAAAATCATCTCCTTATGCAGTGATTTCAGTTATGCAAATAAATCAGATCTTCATCTTGCAACTGTGCTTGAGAATCGCGTTAATTATGGGGCCTCATCATTTAATCAGGAGGTAGCAAAGTGCTCTTGCTTTGGGTATAATGTGAAGGGAGAAAATCTGGTATCAGACTGGGCTCAGGGAACTCGGTGTGGAACTCAGTTAGTGCTGCTCTGAGCTCCTCATCAGCATGGTCTGGTTGTAGACAGAAAGGGGCCACAGAACTCTGAGGTCCAGTGGGGTTCTGCCCTGGGAATCTGTGGCCCTGCACTGGGGGAAGGTGAGGGGACAGCTGAGGTGCTGCCTCTGTGTCCCAGGAAATGCGTTTTTTAGTAAGTACAGGAAAGGGAAATAAAGGGGGAAGATGAAAAGGTCCCGAGGAGGCTTTTGAGAGCACTTGGAGAGGACTCAGAAGAGCAAGCCAGATGTGGGCTCTTGCGTGATGGGCTCTTGCTTTCTTTCCCCTGGATGTTTCTGGGTCAGTGACTTCAAAACCTGCTCCCCTGGGCTGTTCCTTTGTTCAGCTGGAATTAGTGCTGGGACAATGCTCTTGGGGCATGTGGTTGAGTTCTTGGGGTGTCCAGTGCAGGCCCAGCAGTTGGACTTGATGATCCCTGTGGGTCCCTTCCAACTCAGGATATTCTGTGATAGTTTTTTTTTAATTTTTTTTTTTTTGTACATCAATCTCACTTCATTAAACTCTGTAACTCTTGCCTAACATTGTTTTGTTTTTTTTTTTTTTTTCCTTTTCTTTCTCCCTTCTCTCCCTTCTCCCCTGACTATCAATTTTGCTTTTTTTTTTTTTTCTTTTCCTGCCTGCTTTCCAAATGTACCCAATCCATCACGGGAGCGCGGCGCTGGAAGATGGATGGCCACGTGTCATTCATCAAAGCTCAGGCTGCCAGGAGGGGGGACCCAAAATGAGCTGTGAGCAAGGGCAGAACAAGGGAGAACTGCACTGCTTTGTTTCTCCCCCGCTCCTGAACTTGTGTTTTTGAGCAGCACTGATGTTTTTCAGCAGTTCTTGGTTGTCTGCTGTGTCCTCTTGGGAGAGGAGGAGGAGGATGGTGGTGGTGGTGGGGATGCTTTGAGCTGTCTCAATACCTGCTCTCCCTCTTAAGACTTGGATGTGTAAGAACTTCCTTGTTGTCCCACAGGGTCGTGTCCACCTGCAAGCTGGGCTAGTGGGAGGTGTCCCTGCCCATGGCAGGGGGTGGAATGAGCTGATCTTTATTGTCCCTCCCAACCCAGACCCCTCTGGGCTTCTGAGAAGGGGTTAATCACCCTGTTCCTCGTGTGCTGGCAAACACCCCGTTGTGTTGCAGTGTAATGTGGTGTGAAGGTTCCCTAATAGAATAAGAGCAGGCCTAATGCAATGAGGCATTTGCTAATAAACAGCTTTACTGGATATTAGGGAATTTGCGTGGCGTGTTTGTGATGAGTTTGTGAATATTAAATGTGGTTTGGAGGCCTAATTTAGACATCCAGGGCTGTTGTCATCGTTCAGTGCCGTGACTTTGCTTTGTGTGCTAAAACCAGGGCTTGTTTCCAAGTCCTGGCCTTCTCAGCTTCTCTCATCGTTTGGTTCTTGGAATCACAGACTGGTTTGGGTTGGATCATCCAGTGCCAACCCCCCTTCCACTAGCCCAGGGTGCTCCAACCTGGCCTTGGATGCTTCCAGGGGCAGCCACAGCCTCTCTGGGCAGTTCATCTCTCCCTGGAGCAGGAGATGGGGTTTGTAACGTCCCTTCAGTGCCTGTCCAGGACTCCCCCTTCCCTTCGGCAGAGTTTGTGCCCGTTCCACCGGACCCAACTTTCCCAAAAGCTCCATCCTTCGAGTTCCCAGCTCCTCTGAGCTGCTGTGGGGTCAGAAAGGCATGTGGAGACCTGATGTAACTCTGCACTTAGCCCAGAGCAGCCTTTCCCCGCTCCCATTGTGCCTTGATTGTGCCATTGTTGCGAGGTGGCTCCAATCAGGTCCCTCCCTGATTGCCTGGGCTCAGAAACTCGCCAGAGACCTGACTGAAATGTGAATACTGGCAGTTATTTCTGGATCCAAGATTGCTGTGGGATTTGGGAGCCTCTCTGCTCCTCCTGTGTCCCTGTGGTTCCGTGACACAACCGGAGAGCTGCTGACAAGAAAACCACGTGCCTCCTTCGAGCTTCCTCGGCTGCTGATGATTTGCAGGATGATTTTGATGTGAGAGCCTTCAGTTAGTTGTGGATTTCCCTGTTTGAAGTTTCAGGCTTGCACTCAAGATCCAGGGAAAACACATTTACGGTGCCTCTGTGAGTGGGTCAGTTCTGTGTTCCCAGTGGGCCCCAGTGAATTTACACTGCAAATGGAACTGGTCAACTTAGCAAATCAGATTTTTTTTTTTTTTTTCCCTTCCAGAGATGTTTAAAGTTACGCTTGAGAGCCCAAGGGACAGAATGTGGGATGTTTTTCCTCAAGTGTAAAGGTGCTGAGCAGTGGGTGATTCAGGATGTTACAACCCCGTGGGCTTCCCCTTCCAGCGTGTTGTGGGGAGGGAATTGTGTTGTCCTTTGCTGTTCAAACACAGTGTTTCAACGAGACTCAGGTTTATTTACCTAAGAAAATGTTTGTTTTAGCCTGTGGATCAAGAAAAGCAAGTCCTCACTGCAGGCAGACCCTCAGTAGTGCAGGTTGTGTTCCTGCAGCTCTTCCGAGGGGGTGAATATTTACCCAGCTGTGAGGAGGAGCCTTCCCATTAATTGTGGATAATTGTGCAGACATTCCCGAGTCTGCAGAGTGTGCAGGGATAGGGAATCATTCCTGAAATAGCTTTACATTCCAAGCAGAGCAATCCCTGCTGCTGGCTCTGTGACCCCCTTATCTCCCAACCCACATCCCACAGCGTCTCCTGGTCCAGTTGCTGTTCCTTGTTCCAGATCCTCATCCCTCTTCCCTGACAAGTGGCTGAAGAGTGAAGAGGAACTGCCATCCCTGTGCTGTGTATGCAGATAAAACCCAGATATTTGGCCACATTTAATTGACTGAAAGATTCAAGTATTTTGTTTGAACTTGGAACGATGAGATCCTTGTGATAAGAGTGGAATTATCTGCTGGGGTGACCTGTTTGCAGCTACACCAGGAATACCTGTGTCCTGCCTGCTTCTCCTCGATAACCTTTTAATTACTCCTTGAAAAATCAGCCTGGGTGACTTGGAGTTAATTACCAATCAAGAGCACCAAGCTTTTGATCTTAAAAAGAGCAGAAGGGAGGAGGAGAGAGAGAGAGAGGCAAAGGGAACAGGGAAGGAGAGAATTCCCCCCCACGTTCCTCTCCCTTGCACAGACACAAACTTGGGGTAAAAAAACATTCTGGGGTTCGAGACTGTTACAAGAAATTCCTGGAAATTCAAGAAATTCCCGCGTTTCCCAGCTGGGAACAGGCAGGACTTGTGTTGGGATTTTGTGTTGAGTCACCTCTGGGCCTGGGACATATCCCTTTGTCACTACCTCGTGTCTCCCAGCTGATCACAGAGTTCCTTTTGCTGAGGAGAAACGTAAATAAAGCCGAGGGCTCCTTAAATCCTTTTGTCACCTTTACTAAACTTCAGGATCCAGCCTCCCTCTCTCCCCCTCAGCAGAGCTCTTTGTCACTTCCCATTAACTCCCTTGGGAAAAAAAAAAACAAAAAACACCACAAAACCCACTTAAATTTGTGTTCTCTGCTTTGTAGAATAAAATCCACTTTTTTAATTTTTTTTTTTCCTGTTAAAGAGACTTGTTTGAGCTGCTCCAGCAGCGCCAGGACCTTTTGCCTGTTGTTTTGTTCTGAGGAAGTGCTGAGTGTTTAAACTTGCTCTGCGAGGTAATTGATGGAACCAGATCTGAAAGTCTGGGAGAGGTGATGGAGTTAATGCAACTGCAGCAGGGCTCTGCAATTTCCAGAGGCTCAATTCAATTTTTCCATATTTATTAGGAGAGGGTGTGCATCAGGATGAGTGGTAAAAGCAGATGATTGAATCCGAGTGGGAGCTTTTTTTTTTTTTCCCTGGCACCACGAGGAATGCTGTGGGCTCAGGAGGAGGCTGGGCACTGATGTCCTGCCAGTTCAGAGATGG